TTTGTTGTCTATAAATAGAGGAATTTCCTCTCATTTTAAAACAAAGAAAATGTTGAACTTCTTTTCTACTGCACAATTAAATATTTGTGTATTTTGCTCTTGTTGAGTGACTTACTGACACCATTGGTTTTGTATCAATACGTTGGTGAATAAAATTGTTCCATCCTGAGAGGATCTAATTCTTTAAACCTCAGGTATTAGAGGGGAATAATTTTCTTAAGGGGATACTGTGCATTTAGTGGACTCGATTTTTTCCTTTCTATTTTATTCTATTTTTACATATCCTGGTATGTTTTTTACAGTCATTAATTTATACTTATGGTATTAATTGTTGCTTTTGAGTATATGTTTTAAACTCTATTGTTTATGTTTGTGCAAAATTATTGTCTCCGATTATATTGAATGTGTACACATATAGTAGGTATATTTATTGTGCAGAAAATAATTATTGTACTCATTTTCAAGAATTCATGTTTTGATATTCTATATAAAATTCTATAACTTTAAAGTACTATATATAAGCTTACATATTATCTATTTTTACATAGATATGAAGTTTCTCACTTATCAATTGTAGAAATTTATTATGCAAGTTCAAAAGTTATAATTACTTTCATGTTCAAGCGTAATTTTTTTTTTTGAATTTATTAGCAAATTTTTGAATTTTTTCCTAAGACATATATCACAATTGTATGATCTATGCAACTTAAATGTGTTCTTTTTCTTACAAAATGCCTTTGTATTGTATATATATTCTTATTTTTTTCATTATTTTCCTTTTAATGTTGATTAAAGAACCAATGATTTATTATTTATTGAATAATTCATTCATTAGAAGTTCTTGAGTTATGTGATAATGACAAATAATCAAATTCATGTTGGAATATTGCTAATATTTTTTAAGAACCTATTTTTTCCATTATTTTTAATGTATGGATATTAGTAAAGGATTATTTGCAAGTTCAATGCAATTATTATTTATGACCGCGCGAAGCGCGGACAAATTACCTAGTTAATAATAAGGGTAAATTGAAAACTAAATGTAAAATTATCAATTAATTCCATAAAGTAGATAATTATTGTTGAACATTTCAAAATAGTATAGTGGACAACTATTGTTAGATAGAGGGGTACTTATTAAATTTATCGATATTGAATTAATGATTTTATAATTTGTTTTTATTGAGTTATTAGTTTGGTTTTTTATTTTACGGTTTTAGTTAATAGTTAAATTGATAATTCAATAAGATTAAATTTAAATTACTCTTTTATTTGTAAATATGTAATAGTGACTTTAATAATTTACAGATTATATTTTATAAGTATTAGCATTGCTTTCGGTAATATAACTCATACAAACTAGACTTGTTGTCTCTTTATTGTAATATATTTTCTCTTCTCGATAATGAGAATTTATTTCTTTTCTTTCAATTTTAGATTTGTTTGTGACAAAGAAAGACTATTGATATTGGTTTTGCAGTTTATTGTAGGAGTATTTAGAAGGAATTCAAACAATTTCATCTTAAACAAAAGTGATCAATGTAAAATCAAATATCATGTTCTATTTTTGCTACTTCTTTTATTTTGTGAATGTCATGTAAATATTATTATATGAATATTTTCTTATAGGTTAAACCAAATATCGATTAATCAAAAATCAATTATCAATATTCTTATTGATTTAATTATGGAATTAGCGTGCTCATAAATCGAAAATTGATAATACATAAAATTGAATCGAATTAATTGATAGTCAATATTATTTCACAATATATCATGTTGTATTGTTTTAATAAATATTTCTTTATCTAAATTTATATTACATAGTTTTTTAGTAAGTTAAAAAAATACGTTTTTTATTTGACAAATATTCAATTACATTTTTAATATTTTATTCATATTAAGCCTTATTTATTTGACCAAAAAAGTCCACAAACAATATACCTTTTTTTAAGGATAATTTTAACCATTAGCATGATTGGGAATAAATTAGTAGATGATAGAAGTATAATTTAAAAAGCTTATTTTTATGTTTTCTTACGTATTTCTCTGTTTTATTTTTATCTTTAAACTCACTTCTTCAACTCTTGTGTCCCTTCAGACGATTGTATTTCTTCGATTGTGTCACTTCAAGAACTACATATAAAAACTAGGCAAATCATACTAATTATTGTATCTTTTTCTTCGTGACAAATTTCATCCCTAGTTTTTGCGAAATTTCGTCAATTCCTTGGAAGTCTACTTTGGATCATCGCCCAAAAAATAATGAAACAAAACTATAATTTCTTTGCAGTTTTTTCCTTCATTCAACATGTCAAAAGAAAACTATTTCAACTGGTCTATTCTCAAACAACTGAGTACAACCACATTTTTTGGTTCGTACCTACTTTTTGTGGGATTTTTCCATCTGTAATCACTTTGTCTGACAACTTACGTTAGTTTTTTATTCAATATTCTATGAAATTTTATCTTTTTTGAATTTGTATTAAATTACTTTTGTGTTTTGGGTTATGAATTTATTTTTAGCATTCTTCATGGAATCAAAATTGAGGAAGAGACAATAAAGAGAGAATACATTCCGCCGCAACTTGATAAGGTAATTGTACCTATTCAATTTTTTTATTGAGAGTGAAATGTTGTTGTGTTAATCATATCTCCAAAATGTTGTAAAGTTTGGCCAATATGTAAAAGTCACAATTCTTTAGAAAAGTCATAACTCTTTGAAAAAAATTACAACCCATCAGAAAAGTCACAATCCTTCAATGTGAAAATGTATCTGTTTTAAATATATTTTATAATATAAATATGATATGAAATATTTTTTAGGATTTGAGCTTATACGTTTGGTATTAATACTTATCCAGCTTCTTTGAGATAATCAATTAATCGGACCAATGGTCCATAGAGTTGCTTAAAATAAATAGTAAGAAATATAGAATATGTACTAAATTGGGTGTGAAGAAGAAGAATAATAGAAAAAAATTATGAACAAGTACTTATTGTGCCTTATCAAAAAGGTCACAACCTTCGGAAAAGTTATAACTCTTCGAAAAAATCACAACTTTTTGTAAAGTAACAACCTTTCAGAAAAAACACAACTCTTTGAAAAATCAGAATCCACTGGAAAAGTCACAATCCTTCACTTTGAAAGGGTGTCTTTTTTAAATATATTTTATATCATAATATAAATAATTGTAGAATATGTACTAAATTGGGTGTTTTAAGAAGAAGATGAAGAAGAATAGAAAACTTAGAAAATTCGTAATTCAAAAATGTGAGGAAACTTCTCTATTTATAGCGCCAACAAGGTAGAAATAACATGTGTTTATTTTGTCTTATAAAAAACTGAACAACTCTTCAGAAAAGTCACAACCCTTTCGAAAGGTCATAACTTATCAAAAAAGTCTCAACCCTTTAGAAAAGTCACAATTCTTTGAAAAAGTCACAACCCTTTGAAAAGATCACAACTCAACGAAGAAGTCACAATTTTTTAAAAAAGTCACAACCTTTAGAAAAAAGTTATAATTCTTCGAAAAAGTCTTAATCTTTCAATGTGAAAAGGTGTATGCTTTTAATATATTTTTATAATCTAAATATTTAAATAAATATAATATAATATAAAATATAAAAGATATACTAAATTGGATGTTTTAAGTTAAGGCTATGATAATAATTTGATATTCAAGTTAAATAGTTTATAGTTTTAAGGTACTATAGATAGATAGAAAGAATCATGTATTTTTCACATATTTTCTTAACCTTTCATATTCGTTATTCATAAAAGATTAAATGTTTCAATTACTACTTTTCTATTCCTTATTAATGGTTATTACCAAAAAGTTGGGAAGTCTCAATTATTAAAACTACTGGTACTTGTAACCTTTCCTGAATTCTCCTAATTACTTGTAATTATTTTTATTTCCAATATTTTTTCCAGCTGATCCCCTCTAGAATAATAAATATGTGACTTTGGTCTGTTCATATATAAATATGATTTAAAAAGTTTTTAAAATCTTAACGAGATCTTTTTCTGATTTATTAGCTCTAGAATAATCAAGGAACACACTTTTGAGAATACGAGAGGCTGATATCATTGATATTATTCACATAATAAATTTAATATGACATATTCAGGGGTGTTTATGGACAATGACATGAAAGAGCAAGAAAAACTAATTGTTACTGGCTAAGGAATGAATAATAGGGCATCAAATTGAATATCTTATAATTTGCATGCACATGTACTAAACAATAGATAAAGTGATAATTGACTAATCTATGAAAAATCATTCAATACTGAGAAGCCAATTATATCAAAGAACAAATATTATAATTGAAAATATGTATAAGATAAAATTCTTTAAAGAGTAAGAATTTTACAACCTTTCATGTTCTTATTCTTAATATATGTGACAATACCAAAATTCTAATATTCAGATATTAAAAAATGATCATTCATAATTTTAATGAGATAATGAATTACCACGCGAATCGCGGTTATATTATCTAGTGTTGATAGAAAACAGAGGGTGTTACCCCTTCTAATGCATTTTCAAGCTTAATTATTCTTTACCCATATGATATTTTATTAGAGAAGTCAAAGATAATTTCCTTTTATCATTTTTTTAATTGAATTTTTTGTACTTGATTTTTCTAATCTAATTTACATTTCTAATATAATTTAAAAACAATTACACAAAAATAAATTTACCAAAATACATTCAAAAAATAGTTGGTTATCTATTTATTTATTTTTAAAATAAATTATTCTTGAACTTAAAGCTTGAAGTTCATCAAAGAAAATAACAAAAGAAAGTAGATAAACATTATAGGGAAGAATTTTGTTAATGGACAATCCTACCCTCGGATCCCTACTGAATCTAATAGACCTTTAACGGACGGCCAAGATTTAAACACTTCTACTGGATCCAACGGCCCATAACATTCCTAATTCCCTTTATAAGCTTCGCGAAAAAACCCTAGAAAAACCATACCGCTTCCAGCGTCTTCATCTCGGCTGCCTACGACGCTCTTCCTCCACCGCCGCCGGCCAGAATTTCCTGTTAACCTCGCGAAAATGGTGAGTTTATAGCTATGGCGATTTGAATTCCGTTCAAATGTTCTTTGTATTAATGTAACAACTGTTAAAAATTGGAGCGAAAATGGCGAATTTTTAGTTATGGCGATTCGAGTTTCGTTCTAATGCTCTTAGCGTAATCTGTTAAAAGTTAGAGCTAAATCGGTGAGTTTTTAGCTATGGCGATGTGGAACGTATTCTAATGTTCTGTATTAATGTAATCTGTTAAAAGTTGGAGCGGAAATGGTGAATTGTTAACTGTAGAGATTTGGATTTCGTTCTAATGTTCCTTGTAATAACGTTATCTGTTAAAAACTGGAGTGATAATGTTGAGTTTTTAGCTATGGAGATTTGAATTTTGTTCTATTGTTATTTGTATTAACATGATCTCTGTTCAAAATTGGATTTGTAAGGTTCTTCCAAACGATGTCGACTTGTTGAACCCACCAGTTGAGCAGGAGAAGAGAAAGCACAAGCTCAAGCGTTTGGTTCAATCTCCAAACTCTTTCTTCATGGTAAAGGAAACAGTTTGTCAATGTATATGTGGTTTGAATTTATATATCGAGATTTTGAAATTAATCGGTGATTTGTTTGGTGTGTTGTTAAGGATGTGAAGTGCCAGGGTTGCTTCAACATGTAAGTTTTTTTTTTCTGTTGTTCATTTCTCTTAGTTGGTGCTTTTGACATGAATTTAGTGATATTTGGAATAAAGTAATATTTGAAGTTGAGATATGGTAATGAAAAAGTGAAGTTGATGAATTTAGTGATATTTGGAAAGTAGTATTTGGTGATTAAACCTTGGAAAAATGTATAGTTGAAGAATGGTTATTGAAAAGTAAAGTTGATGAATTCATTTACATTCCATAATAAGTAGTGTTTGAAGCTGAAAAGTGGTATTTTCAAATTTTATTCGACTTTCGGCATACATTGCACTTGGTTAGAAGGTTCCAACTTTTTGGCTGGAAAAACAAGTTTGGAGAAGTCATCCTCGAAAATTAATTGAAAAGTCGTTCTAATCTATATAGCCGAACAATGTTTTAAATGCTCTTTGAAAAAAGGAAAAAAAAAACATGTCCAAACCTATGTTGCTCATACTCTTCAAAAATGTCAATATGTGCGTGTTGTATTTGTCAAAAGTAGTGTATTTTTTGAGAATTCGACACGGGTGAGGCATCAAAAGTTAAGAGTCCGTGCAATTAAGGTCCAAACAGTAGTGTTTGATGAACAGAATTCTTCTGTTAAGGCAAGAAAGTCGCCTTAGGGAAGTAGAAGTCTATGCACACTAACTGAATCTTTGGGGAAAGTTGGTGGGACATTCAATCCGGAGTTTGTTTCAGTTTCGACTTCACCTTTAATAACACCTTACAGATTAGTCTCAGTCATACAAATATAACTTGGTTCATTTCTTAGTCTCTTTCTCTCTATATGTGTGCAGAACAACGGTGTTTAGCCACTCACAGACAGTGGTGGTGTGCGGTAACTGCCAGACGGTGTTGTGCCAGCCAACTGGTGGACGTGCTAGACTCACTGAGGGTTGTTCTTTCAGGAGAAAGGGAGACTAGAGAAGATGAGTAAACTATTTGCTTTTAGAGTTGGGAAGTGACAAAGTTAATATGGGTAACAAATTAAGTTATGGTGTAATCCTGTTTTTGTTTTAGAACAAAGGATTTTGGGTTTACAATGACTGGTTATGTTATGTTTTTCAATTAAATTGGATTTTGAATTTTTGCTATTTATTAGCTCTTTGTGGTGCCTAACTGTATTTCCCCATCAATATCTTTTGAACTCCTTGATTGTTATTTACTTGTTAGGAAATAAGTCACATTTGAACTCGTTGATATTATGTTTTAGGAGATATCTTTGTATCTTACCGTAAGAGGTGAGAGATGCTTATCATTTGAGCAATCGTTTTGGTTGTTAACTTGAATTACTTGAGCTTTGGGATTGGTTGGCTTTCATAGGCCACTCTAATCTCCAAAGTATTAATTTCACCATTTATCAATAAACCATACAGTACGAAAGAGATATATACATCAAATTTCTAAAATCTGCTCATTTTAGAAAAAAATGTAATTATAACTGCTCTTTGGAGAAAAACATTGTGTTTAGATTATTCATTTTTGTCAATAATAGAACAATAATTCGCGTTTTTCCAAAATTCCTAAAGTGCTCCATTTTAGCTTCTTTTACAATTCAAATCACTTGGTATAAATGCGATTATACATTTCAAACTCTCTAAAATAAGCATTTACCCCAATTTGTTTTTATTAAGATTGGTTTGATTTTTGATTTTTGATTTTATGATTTTGGTAAATGGTTAAATATACAATTCAACAACATTAAATCAATTTAAATTACTATTCCATTTGTGTAATTACATAAAAGTGACTTTAATATTTTATGGATTATATTTTTTAAGTATTAGTGTTACTTTCGTTACTAGGCAATACAAACTAGACTTGTTTTTTTTTTGGTAAAACAGGAGCAAAGCTTTTATTTATTTATAGCAAGACCTTAGTCCTTACAAAGTTCTAAATTGTGATTGCGCCACTACAGGCACAATCGAACAAGCAGGTGGTCATGTACAGTGGCGTAGCCACCCTTATGTCTAGGTGTAATTGGACATCCTTTGTCGAAAAATTATACCGTATACAAAAGTAAAATGATAAACAAAGTGACTAAATAACATATTTTGGACACTCTTGACACAACAATATGATGCAGTCTAGTAGTGGTTTCAGGTGCCTTGAAAGAGTAAAGACACACGAACTTAAAGTATTCGTGTGTTCGAATCTCATTAGTAGCAATTTTTTCCCACTTTTTAAGAAGAGCAGGTTCACTTTAACACTTGGACACCCTTTGTGAAATTTCTTGCGGATAGATACATTGGGGAGCAATTTCAAGAGACTATTTAACCAATTAACTATTGTGATACCTTTTATCTTTTCAATGCGAACTAGTATTACTTTCTTCTTTTTCAATTTTAAAATTGATTGTAATAAATGCAAACAATTAATGTTATTTTTTTGCAATTTATTGTAGGAGTTTTTAGAAGGATTCGAACAATTTTGTCTTAAGCAAAGCTATTAATGTAAAATTTGTGTTGCAGTATTTTAATTTTGTGAACATGATTATATGAACATTTTCTTATTTGTTAAACCAAAAATCGATTAATCAAAAAATAATTATAAATATCTTATTGATTTGATAATCGAATTAGCGTGCTCACAAATTGAAAGTTGATGATACATACAACTGAATTGAATTGATCAACAATGAGTATTATTTCACGATGTATCATGTTGTATTGTTTTGATAAATACTTCTTTGTCTCAATTGATATTTCACAAATTTCTTTTTAAACAGTTAAAAAAATGATACATTTTTATTTGATAGATATTTAATAATACTATAATTAGCATTAAGGCTGTGTATTAGTCGGTTTGGTTTGATTTTGAAGTTTATCGGTTTGACTTTCGGTTATTGATTTGTAGACATACTAAACTTTTATAGAACTATTAAGGTATTGACTTATTGATTATTGGTTTATCAGTTATTAATCGTTATCAGTTTAACTGATAAGATTCGATACAATTTTTTTTATATTGAAAATCATTTAGAAACAAGGTGAACCAAATAAACCATGCACTTGAGTTGACAGATTGCGTCATGCTTAAAAGCAACACACTCATATTGTATAATAACCGAAAGTTTGAGATAGTTAGAAATAAAAGTATGGAACTAAATTCTAAGTCAATAATTTTATACACTAAATGGTATAAATATAATTATTTAATTTACTATCGGGTTATCGATTAACATGTTAAGAAAAAACTTCAAACTGCTAAGAATCGATAATCCGATAATACAAAAAATCAAAACCGTTATCGAAATGGCTAAATCATTAACCCATTAACGATAAACCAATAACTTTTTATCAATTTGTATTATCAATTTTGATTCAATTCTAAACAACCCTAATTAGCGTGGTTAGAAAGGAATTAGTAGAGAATACAAGTAAATTTGGAAATGTTGATAGAAAACAAAGGGAAATCTCTCAATGCATTCTCAAGTTTCATTATTCTTACTCATAATGTGTTGGTTTTTGCTAAAAAACTAACACATTCACTTTGTATAATAACCGAAAGTTTGAGACAGTCAGAAATAACAGTATGAAATCGAATTCTAAGTCAAGGATTTTACACACTAAATGTTAAAAATATAATTATTTAATTTACTATCAGGTTATTGGTTAACCTGTTAAGAAAAAACTTCAAACTTCTAAGAATCGATAACCCGATAAAAAATAAATCAAAACCATTATCAAAATGGCTAAATCAATAACAAATTATCGATAAACCAATAACTTTTTATCAATTTGTATTATCAATTTTGAACGACCCTAATTAGCATGGTTAGAAAGGTATTAGTAGAGGATAGAAGTAAAATTTGGAAATGTTAGAAAACAAAGGGAAATCTCTCATCAAGTTTCCCCCCTCTTATGTATTATCAAGTTTCATTATTCTTACCTATAAATTGAGTTTATGCATCATATGATATTTTATAAGAGAAGTTAGAGATTATTTCTTTTATCAAAACCTTTTTAATTGAATTTGTCGCACTTGATTTTTCTAGTTTAATTTACATTTTTAATATAATTTAAAAATGGGAAAAGGCTCAAATTTGCCATCGAACTTTTAGAAAAGGCTCATTTATGCCATCCGTTAAAAGTTTGGCTCATTTATGCCATTGCTGTTAAAGAAAAGGCTCATCCATGCCATTTTTTTTAACTCCGGTTTTGCAAAACCATTTTTTACACACCAAACATGGTTTAACACTTTTCTATTGATGTTTTTGGATCAAATGTACATTTTTTGTTTCTACATCCTTAAGAACACCAAGAACACATAAAGAACATTAACAATTCCCAAATTTCAAACTTATTCAATTCTTCATGAATCGTCTCAAATTTCAAGAGTAGTTTCGCTCCGAGCTAGATACCAAAACTCAATTTCTTTTGAGCTCGAATTCAACCTAACTCAACAAGACCCAATTGAAATTTCTTCAAAGTTTCAAAACTTGAACATTCTTTAATGGTAGATTCTCCAAAACTTCAAATCATTTGAAATTTTGAACATAAACTCAAAAAACACTAGTCAACAAAGATCTAATGTTAAAAACAAGAATCAAAGCAAATTTTGAAAATTTGGGACTGATTTTCGTTTTTGGAATATATATTTTTAAAATGGGTGAATTTTTTGAACTCTACAAATGATTTTAGAATTTTTGTTTTTTTAAAAAAGAAATTAATAGTGTAGCCGAAATTTGAGATGATTTCGTGAAGAATTGAAGATGTTGAAAATTTTGGAGTTGTTAATGTTTTCCATGTGTTCTTGGTGTTTTTAAAGAAAAACAAGCAAAAAATGTACATTTGATCCAAAAATACCAATAGAAAAGTGTTAAACCATGTTTGGTGTGTAAAAAAATGGTTTTGCAAAAACTGGAGTTAAAAAAAATGGCATGGATGAGCCTTTTCTTTAACAGCAATGGCATAAATGAGCCAAACTTTTAACGGATGGCATAAATAAGCCTTTTCTAAAAGTTCGATGACATATTTGAGCCTTTTCCCTTTAAAAATTATGCACAAACATTAAAAGGAAAAAAATTATGAATGGACAAACCTACCCTTGGATCCCTACTGAATCTAAAAGACCTTAGATGGACGGTCAAGATTAAAACTCTTCTACCAAATCCAACGGCTCACAACATTCCTAAATCCCTTTATAAGCTTCGCGAAAAAACCCTAGAATAACTCTTCCAGCGTCTTCATTTCAGCTGCCTCCGACGCTCTTCCTCCCTCGCCGCCGTCCGGAATTTCCCGTAAACCTAGCGAAAATGGTGAGTTTTTATCTATGGCGATTCGAATTCCGTTCTATTGTTCTTTGTATTAACGTAATAATCTGTTAGAAATTGTAGTGCAAATGGTGAGTTTTTAGCCATAACGATTCGAATTCCGTTCTAGTGTTCTTTGTATTAAAGTAATAATCTGTTAAAAATTGTAATGCAAATGGTGAGTTTTTAGATATGATGATTCGAATTCCGTTCTAGTGTTCTTTGTATTAACGTAATAATCTGTTAAAAATTGGAGCGCAAATGGTTAATTTTTTAGCCATGGAGATTTGAATTTTGTTCTAATGTGTTCTGTATCAACGTAATCTGTTAAAAGTTGGAGCAAAAATGGCGAGTTCGCTATTAGAATTTCGTTGTAATTTTCTTAACCTAACCTGTTAAAAGTTGGACCAAAAAATGGTGAGATTTTAGCTGTAGATATTTGGATTTCGTTCTAATGGTCTTTGCATTAACTTAATCTGTTGAAAATTGAAGCGTAACTGGTGAGATTTTAGTTATGGTTTTTCAAATTTCGTTCTAATGCTGTTTACTTTTATCTGCTAAAAGTTGGAGCAAAAATAGTGAGTTTTTAGCTATATGGAGATTTGAAACTTGTTCTAACGTTCTTTGTATTAACGTAATCTGTTACAAATTGGAGAGCTTTTAGCTATGGAGGTTTGAAGTTTTCTAATGTTTTTTGTATTAACGTAATAATCTGATTTGTAAGGTTCTTCCAAATGACGTTGACTTGTTGAACCCACCAGCTGAGCAGGAGAAGAGAAAGCACAAGCTCAAGCGTTTGGTTCAATCTCCCGACTCTTTCTTCATGGTAAAGGAAACTGTTTGTCAATGTATTTGTATATGCATTTGTGGTTTGAATTTTTT